ATATATATATATATATATATATATATATATATATATATATATATATATATACATATAGGCAATATTATAACACAAATTAACATACAATGAAATAGGAAGTTCTAACTTTTTTCTACTTGATTATGTTTACAAATAATTAGTGCAGAAGATCGTATCTCATTGTAAGAATTATTCTTTATAAAGATTTATAGCATCTGTATCTATAGTATTCGAAGTAAACATGTCCATTATCTAATATCAAGAGGAATGCACAAAGTCTCCCCAACTTTATTACTCATTAAGATGCATCGTTAGAGCAAGCCGATTATTATACATGGACGGAAAAGCAATGAAGGATTTGTTCAAATCTAATTCTCGCATATTTATCAAATCTTGGATTTTATTGTACAAATTTTAAGACTTTTACGTATTCTATATATTGCCATAATAATTAAAAATTGCACTGAATAAAGTTGCGATTAATATAAGATTTCCACGCAACATATAGTTAACAGTATTTAAAAAAGCTAGTCCTTAAATTTTATGTTTACACTTTAAACAGAAAAAAAGTTCAACAAGTTTTTGTGTATAACTATATAATTATATTTTCAAATATATAGAGTAAAATAATATAGTATAGTATTCTAATTTAGTATTATTTACAGCCATTCTTTTTCACGCTCTTAATGTTAGTACGCGTCATACACGTACAGAAAGAAATTTTTTCTGCAGCTTGTCCGTGCACTTACAAATGCATTTCTGGATCGCGATCAAGTGAATTGCGACTCCAAGGAGAATCTCGACAATGGGTATCCATTTCGGATGTTCAACAAAAGAGTAGCATCTTACATTTCACTTTCATTTTGTCACGCATATTATTCACGTTGTGGCACCGGTAACATTATAAACCGCATAATCACAGTTTTTTTTACGCAATATAAATAATAAATATAGGGGAAAGTTGGGTAAAACCGGGTAGACGGGTCAAACCGGGTACCCGTTTTTTCGGAATAAGCGCTGCTATCTCTATGGCTAACTTGTGTTATTAGTTGTAGATTGGCGCCATCATTATTTTAAAACAAACCATGCCCCTGTGCACACGATATTTCTTTTTTAATAGAAGCTCAAAGTTTTTAGCCCCAAAAAGATCGATATCGAGACAAGAATCGAATCGTCGTGCACTTTTTCTATAAGTATAGAGCATCTGTTTTGGTAAGTGCAGCATTGCATTCTATACATATTAGAGAGTATATCATATTAGTTTTGATCGGCACTTTGTACACCGGAATATACAACCGCCGTATTTGTTACTTTCCTTATGTTGGGGCAAAACCGGGTACTTACACATCTCATGTAATGAAAAGAGGGAGAACTGTTATCCTGACTTTGTCTCCCTACAAAAAGCAGTTGGAAATGAAAACTAACACTCAGAAAAAGAAATCGCTAAAAAGAAAAGCTTTTTGAGATAAAGTTAAAAAGTTAAGAAGTTAAATAAGGAAGTCCTACAGCAATGTCGAACAAGAGGATATCTTTATTTGTGATTTTTGTCAATAAAATACATCTTTATATTGTATTTTGATTAAAATAAATTTAGATTTCATAATTACACGGTGTTTTGCATATTTTCAAATGAGTATCCGGTTTTACCCTACCGGTAGGACAAAACCGAATACTTTGACTTTTCCACAAAATCTTGTTATTCTTGGTAACCAAAATTTTTTTTTTCAGCAACTAGCCTTATTTTCTCATAGTTTAAGGTTCACCAAAGACTACTAACGGTCGACAACATTTTTTTTACTCTTAGATTTTTTGTAGGAAGCCAAATCCAAAAAAGTATCCGGTTTTACCCTACTTTCCCTTATACATAGATGTATCTAGAAACATTAATATATCAAAATCTATCAACATCTAAATTTTAAAAATGCTATGTATGTGTATTTAAGTGTGCTTGCTCTATGTATATTATTTTTATAATACAAAATAAATATATCAAAATAATATTTAATTCGTTTCTCTATGAAAAAATTTAGAAATCTATTTTCAGCTTTGATATAAAGACATTATATATAAAGACATCTTTATATCTTGATAGTTCAAATTGTTTGTCATGACAAAACTGTAACATTTACGTGGGTAGAGAAGATCGTATGAACGCTTGAGAATCTCGGGGGCTCGGCGTCACAGGGTGAATTAGCTGGCGCTTGGCCGCTTTGCGTGTCACGGCATTAATTACGTTTTTGCTGACATCACTTGGTTAGCTCTCGGTAATTGCTGAAAATAGTCCGGATGAATCGTCACACGGTGGTGGCGATTCCACATCACGCGGACGACACCGACTGCGAGACAATGTTGAATGCCATTGGATACCAGAAATAGACGCGGCAGCTTAGATTCGGTTAAATTTGTGCGAATGAATGCATCTTTACGTGTTATATATACATTCTTAAAAGATCTACGACAATCATGAGCTTTTTAAAATCTTACTAATGATATCGAGAAGACAATGACGTAACTGTTGTGCGATTCTAATAAAACGTAATCTTTTTTTCGCGGAATGGCATTGAATTATTGGAATATTAAAAAATATTGACATAAAAAAATATAGATGTATTTTTCAAACATTATAATTATCTTGTGTAATTAATCTTTAGACATCATACAATCGATAAACTAAAGCTTTCCACTGTTATTTACATTGATATTGAAAGACAAGTAACTTGGCATGTACAAATGGTTCTATTGTACGTGATTGTATATCACTATAGATCTGTTTATATAATGGTTACTTAAATCAAGATCAAGTGTTAGTTCTCGCTCAAGATCTTTATATCTAACAATAAGTTGATTATATTTTCTTGTCTTACATACGCATCTCTGTATTTAAATAATTTATGTTATATGATGCATTTCGTTCTTTTTGCTAATTCTTTATTTTAAAACTAAACTTGCGATTTTGTTAAAATAATCATAATTTATATTATTCCGCACAAAATTCAAAGATTCTACAAGTATATATAATTTGGCAATTGCTCAATACATGAATCACTATGTCGAGGATATCTATTAGCACTTTCATTGCACAAACACGCATTGCGCTTTTCGTTAGCATCGCTTCGAAGCATACATTGTGAAAGACCGCATCAACTTGATTCCATAAACGAACAGCGGAAAAATATTTCTTTAACAACGCCCACTTGTTCTTACTCATGTTGGATAATTGAGCGATGTGATAGATCTACGGATGAATAATAAGATTTTACGCAACAGGTAGGAGAAACTCAATGGAATTTCTTCTCGCGAAAGAAAGGAAGTTACTCTCTCACTCACTAATAAATTATTACTAAAAAATGAAGTATTTAGAGTTGTGTGTGTAAAATGGAAATTTTTAAATAATAATTTTGTATGAAAATTCTCTGTATATAAATTTATATATTTTATAGAATTAAAATGAGAAGAAAATTTCTCTACAAAATATTATTATTATCGTGTTATTATTTTTCTGAGGATGTAAAATATATTTCTTTTGTGTGCGTAATCGAGATAAACAACGATCTTAATCTGGCATTGCCGAATGTAAGGAGACGTTTGATAGGAAAGATTCGTAAACATATTTTTGAATTATAGCCAATATTTCAACATTGTCCATCTAGTAATAGTGCGTATCGTATGATTGAAGACCGCGCTTGTGCACGGAAAATTAATTTCTCTTCTTATTCTGTAGATTCTTCGGACATTGTAGACTGCAAATTGAAGTTGATTCTCGGTCTAATATGGACCCTGATCCTGCATTATTCGATCTCTATGCCCATGTGGGATGGCGACGAGGGCGAAGACAAAGGCGCTACCCCGAAGCAAAGACTGATGCACTGGATTCAATCGAAAGTCCCGGATTTGCCGATCACGAATTTCACCTCCGACTGGAACGACGGTCGCGCAGTGGGTGCTCTCGTTGATGCGGTCGCACCTGGTCTCTGTCCGGATTGGCAAGATTGGAATCCCAAGGATGCGATCCAAAATGCGTCCGAGGCGATGGGTCTCGCCGACGATTGGCTCAATATTCCTCAGGTTCACTACAATACTAATTCCTTTAAATTCCATTCGAAATAAAAAAATTTGTCAATTTGTGTCTAATTATTTTCAAATTAATTACAATTCTGTTATAACTTATATTAAAATGTTCTTTTTTTTTTTAATTTGTAGGATAAAAAAATTTAAGAAATATTATAATAGAATATTTATAAGTTAATTCTCTTTGGATATGGAACGCTTTATGAATTAGATTTGTAAATAATTTTTATTGCAGCTCATTAAACCCGAAGAGATGGTAAATCCAAATATCGATGAGATGTCGATGATGACATACCTATCGCAATATCCAAACGCGAAATTGAAGACAGGTGCACCTCTGCGTCCTCGCACAAATCCAAACAGGTAAGAATAATATAATAGTTTATAATAATACTCTATACTTTACTGTATGCAAATCACTTGTACATTTTTAAAGCGTTAATATGAAATCGTATTTTCTATTCTTTGTCGAGAATTTCCTCCAAGACAGCTGGAAAGTAACATTGATAGCACTTGATTAATTCAATATAATTTTTTTCGGTTATCAATTTAGAATATTTATAAAATAATGACAATTGAGTATAGTACTCTATAAATATTACTAAGTATAATTACTTTACACGATTTTCGTTTCTTAAGATTGTATTGTAAAAAATTTCAAAATGTTACAATTGATCTTGATCATAGTTTTCTTCATTTCTTTCCGCGTGTCAACGTATGATAAAAGTATGAGAACTAAAGTATTCGTATAGATTGCTGATATGATGATTATGATTAATTAACCAATTTATTTCTCATTTCTCGGTCGCAGCATCCCACCGCCGCGGTAAGTCGCGCAATGATCATGTATTTTGACGTATAACGGTTTTTACGCAATTAATGTTCGCCGCCTTGACCGTAGCGTTTTAGATCTATCTCTTAACCCACAACATATCTCTAATTGCTACTTTGTATATATATTGTATATACATATATACATATACATATATACTTTTGTATACATAATAAGTACATAAAAGCCTGATAGAAAAAATGAAGATAGTGCGCGGCTGGCGAATTTACAATTTGCAAATTTGTTGAATAGAAAACAAGCGAGAGTTTGATTAATTAGCGCTCAACATCATTCCACGGATTTTTCTAGAGTTTCATAAATAAATATATTATACCATCACATATACATAAACGCGCGCGCGCGCACACACGCACACACATACGCATTATTTAGCCTTTCTCTCTCCGTATTGATACATATACCTACATGAAAGTTTTACGGGAAGCCTCGAATTAAACTAACCGAATAGTGAGTGGCCGCAAGTTTTGCAGAACGTTACGCACTTGCAATATTATTTAGAAAAGAACGACGCAAATCGAGCAAATCATCGTAGCACAAAGCAACGCTTGTAACGTTGAATGGCAAATGAGTTTACTTAACGTATTGATATAACAACGTTGCGGCCGCTGGCTGATCACAGCTTGACAGTCGCCTTTCCTCACGATGCTTTCTTATACAGAGTACGCGCTTATGGCCCCGGTATAGAGCCAACCGGTCCGATCGTCGGTGCGCCGGCCAACTTTACCGTGGAAACCTTCTCCGCCGGCAAGGGTAACGTAGATGTCACCGTCGACGATTCTAAAGGCAACAAATTACCGGTAAGGATAATTATTTTTGCATCTGTTAATAACGATAAGGACATATGTGTGAAGACCATAGACATAGTATATCTAGACCGAGTGTTGAGGAGTGAGGGCCAAATAGAGTGAGTGCACGTAGAAAAGGACATACTCTGTTCCGTGCCCCTTGCGTTCTCTCTCACTCGCATGTAGCATAGCGAAAGAGTACGCTATGCTACGTGCGAGCGAGAGAGAACGCAAGGAGCACGAAACAGAGTATGTCCTTTTCTACGTGCACTCACTCTATTTGGCCCTCACTCCTCAACACTCGGTCTAGATATACTATGGCTGTCTTCCGAAATGCGCTGAAAGTACTGACAGTACTGTTTTCGCGTTCCGAAAATGTTTTCAGCATGCTGCAAGAGAATAATAATTACTACCTTTTTAAAGAAAATAGGTCCTAGAGAATTGCTGACTTCCGGCTGATTTTGCACATACTCCCGAGGTAGTGCGAGTTCAGTAATGCATATGGCGGTTAGCGGTTTCGTAAAACATGAACGAAATATTGTAAATAAAGGCAAACGCTCGGTCTAGATATACTATGTCTATGGTGAAGACTTTCTATCAAACATACATAATATTAAATATTCGAGTGCATACTCTGTTAAAGGATGATAATAATAATAAATTTGTTAGTAATTAAATATATTTATTTCAATAATATCTTAAAAACTTTGTTTAATTATCAAGATATTTTAACAACATTACTGAGAAAAGATAATTTTCAATGTATATATATTAAAATTAGAAGTATAGATTTTTTCCAAATTTTTCTGCGAAACAAAAACGAAGCAACCTGTATCTAATATTAAGTAGATACGTGCTAACGGCGCTTATTGTCGAGCGCAAGACCGGAAGTCGAGAGATGTTTATCGCAATCAGGGATAATTACGCCGCAGAACGTGGACACGATGTGATGCAATGGCTATTTGTGTACCGCGTTGATGATTACGTATTATATTTCAACAATTTTTATGACGTATTATATTTCAATATATATATATATATATATATATATATATATATATATATATATATATATATATATATATATATATATATATATATATATATATATATATATATATATATATATATATATATATATATATATATATATATATATATATATATATATATATATATATATATATATATATATATATATATATATATATATATATATATATATATATATATATATATATATATATATATATATATATATATAAGCATTCGTTATACAGTGCAAGTTGAACGAACGCCATCGTGTCTCTTCGTATGATGTGTGTCACACACGTATCTTGATGATCACAATTGTATTTTTAAGGTTGATATCAGGTTCAACAAGGACAGGAACCTGACATACTCCGTGTCATACACTCCGAAGACGGAAGGTCCGCACAAAGTGAAAGTGCTCTTCGCCGGTAGAGAAATCCCGAAGAGTCCGTACATCGTCAATGTCGAAGGACACGCCGGTGATTCGAGCAAAGTTACGGCAAGCGGGCCGGGTCTGCAACCGGAAGGAGTCGTAGTGAACAGACCTACCTTCTTCGATATCTTTACGAAGGACGCTGGTCGCGGTGTGCCGGAAGTCATCATCTTGGATCCTCAAGTAAAAAAAAGACCTTGACATTATTCATTGCATTGTGTGTTATTGAAAATAATAGACACACAAGAAATTATTTTGTTATTAAATATTATTTTATTAAAGTATTGTTATGTTTGACCTCATCGCAGGGTAGCAAAACCGCAGTACCGGTGAAACTGCGCCAGACCTCGCCAGACGTCTGGAGATGTGAATACGTGTCTCCAGTGACAGGTCTGCATTCCGTCAATATTTTCTTCGCCGGCAAACCCATACCCGGAAGCCCCATCGGTGTCAACATCGCACCGGTTTCCGACGCAAAAAAGTGCAGAGCATATGGACGAGGGTTGCTGTCCACAGGCGTTCGCGTTCAGGACGTCGCCGACTTTGTCGTCCTCACTAAAGACGCTGGTGAGGGCATACCGGACATCCGCGTAATCGGCCCGGGAGGTGTCAATCGACCAGTACAGTAAGTTCAGCATTATCTGATTAAGCACTTTATCTAAGTATTTTATTTCTCAGTTTATCGCACTGCTTATCTCTCTTTTCTATAATTACTTTGCTTACTATTTTTCTGTAATTTTTCAAATGTCAATGATAGTCAATTCAATCAAAAAATAAAGTAATCATTTTAAAAAATTATAAAAAAATTTGTTTATTTAAATTTAAAAAAGAAGATAAAAGAAAAAAAATATACGGCATTTCTAATAATATTGTGCTTTAAGTTTAACTATTAATAACGGCATAAATTGTTCTCTAGAATGTCCAAGGTCGACGCTACGACTTACGCATGCCACTACACGCCGATTAAGGAAGGCCGTCACGTGGTGATGATCACATATGGTGGCAAAGAAATTCCCAAGTCGCCCTTCGAGGTCAATGTTGGTCCTTACAAGGAATCCAACATCAAAGCTTTCGGACCAGGCTTGCATACCGGCATCGTTGGCCATCCGGCGAAATTTACGGTGGACACAAACGGTGAGACCGGTGCTCTTGGCTTCTCTATTGAGGGCCCGTCCAAAGCGAAGATCGAGTGCAATGATAATGGCGATGGAACCGCTGACGTTTCTTATTTACCTACCGCACCGGGACAATATGCGGTCCACATCCTCTGCGATAACGAGGACATCCCTAAGTCGCCTTACATCGCGGCTATCTCGCCGAAGACGGACTTCGATCCGGAAAAGGTAAATCTGAGTCTCCATTGTATCATCTTTACCGTAGTTTTTCACCGTATTGGCAGTTTTTTTTAAACATTTGTTTGTACAATTTGTATATTTGTTTATATTTTGAAGTATCTTATACAGCAATGCGATAAAAAAGATTATATATTCTGTATTTGATAAATTCAATATCGATCGAATTGATAATAAACCGTTTTAATTAATATCTGTGGTAAAATAAACATACGAATTGAGTATATTGTTTTGCAGGTTGAAGTTCATGGACCAGGAATTCAACCGGAAGGTGTTGCCAAAGATAAACCGACGCATTTTACGGTGGACGCGAGAAAAGCCGGCCATGCGGCTTTGGAAGTCGCCATCCAGGATGCTCTCGGAAAGGAAGTTCCTCTCAAATTAGACGACAAGAGAGATGGAACTGTTCAAGCACATTATACGCCTACATCCAGTTCTCAACATGTTGTGATGGTAAGAATATTGATTTCTAAAAAGTTGAGTGTTTTCACTACTTGTTATGTGTATGATTAGAATACATACCGATTTTAGTATAATTTTGATGTACATAATATGACATCCCAGAAAATGTTTAACGACTATTTTAATGAGATGTTATATCGTATTTTATTAATTAATTGTACGTTTGTAAAATAAACGATATCTTTAAGCCAAGAATATAAAAATAATCAAAAGTGGGGAATTTTTTAGCATAATAAAATCGACTATCGATTATAATAATTGAAATATTAATCTAATTTGATAATTTTCTAAAAAATATCTTTCAGATAAATTATGGCGGAGTGGCCACGAAAAAATCTCCATACAGAGTTAAAATAGCTTCGCCTTTGAATCCCGCTATGGTTTCCGCCTTCGGTCCTGGTCTTGAGAAAGGCGTAAAATCGAATATTCCTACACATTTTAATGTCGATTGTCGAGAGGCTGGACCAGGCAAATTGGACGTTAAACTGCTGTCCCCCGAAGATCGGGAGCTTCCGATTTCTCTTACGGATAACGAGGATGGCACGTACACCGTAGATTACATGCCACCTCAACCAGGAAATTATACTGTAAATCTCAACTACGGCGGTCTGAACGTACCCCAGTGTCCCATTAAAGTCAACGTTCAGCCTCATGTGGACGTGTCTAAGGTCAAGGTGGACGGTTTGGAACCAAGTGAGTACAATCGTCATTTTTTTTTTAAGTGTTGCCTAATATATCTAATGTATCGATTTGACGAATACAAAACACACTATCTATTTCTATTTGAGATTAATTAATAATTTGATAAATATTTTACTAATTGCAAAACATAATCAAACTACGATAATATGTGGAGTATTCTACGAGAACTAAATCGAATATTCTTTAAATATGTCATTTGAGATAATAGTAAACAATTACTTTAATGAGATATTATATCTGATGTCGTATATTGCTCAATTAGCAATCTTTTATTACATGTATGTTATAATAGTTTGTTAATAGGTAAAAGATAATTTATTTTAAATTTTATTAAAACATTATCATATCTAAAATATACTAAATTTATATAAACTTAATAATATTTAGATAAAAATTTAAATTTAGGTTAAAATTAAATTTAATAATTTAATAAATAAACTTAATAATAATTAATTTTTTTTTAAATACAAACTATTTTGACAATTCATTAGAATTAGCGATCATGAAGAAGAATTTATGAATGTGTTTATACTTGAAGCAAAATCTTGCGCTTGAATAGAATGATATACTCGGCAATGCATTAACTCGAAAATAAATCACGTTAAAGTTGCACTTCTGGTAATCGTTAAAAAAATAATTTCCGTCTCATGGAACACAGCCGACATTCTTTTCGGGGATCTTTAGGGTTATTACCAAGATATTTATCCTAGATTTTCGAAATACGCGCTGCCAAGGTCTCGCGAATAGATGTTTCGCTGGAGCGCAAACCGATGGTTTATTTATAACCGCGCTCGCGAATTCCTCACATTGACACGCACACAGTTTGCGTTTCGTCTAAAAATATTGCGTTTCGATGCTCTATTGCGCGCATAGCGTCTTTCATATAAACTTTACCTGGAATCTCCCGGAGAAACGTAACAGTTTCATTTTCTATAAGATATAAAACTCGAAACGAATAATAATGTGTTTGAAAGATCAACATGTGTTTTTTTTTCAGAAATACTAAATAATTATTTCTGCACGCGCTAAATAATATATTTGTTTTTTAATTAAATGCATTTTTATCTGAAATATGTTTTATAATCGCGCGAGATCATTATACTTGGAATCTGCTCTGCTTAATTTACACGCACATTGCGGGCTTGTATATGTAGCAAACGGCTTTCTTTCACGATTCAATGCAAAATTAACTGTTATTGTGTAAAATCGCACGACGTACGTCTCGTCGTACTTGCTGGTGACAGTTTTGTCTATTTTATCTTGGTATAATTCATTAGAATACGAAATCAGAGAAAAATTAATGAATGTAAGTGTTTGCCATGAATTGCAGGGTTTAATTAATTGCTCGCGAACTTTTTAATAACTTTATCACGGTCATTCATTTTTATTCGTGTCAATTTCTAAATAAATATAAAACCTCTCTTCGACGACTATCGTGATTTAACCGGCAAATCGACGCGACGTTCGCTCGTCGCATGCGGGCCGTCGTCCCGTCGCGTAAGCACAAAGCGAAAGACGCTCATCGTGGCTCACCACGAGAAAACCCGCAAACATCCTCGCAGCGGCCCCGGTGAACAGCCTGCAGCAGTTCCGCGTGATAACGCAGGAAGCGGGCAGGGCAGCGGACTTCCAGGTGGCGATCACGGCTCCGTCCGGCAACCGTGTCAAGGCGCACGTGGTGCCGACCCATGAAGGCTACCTGGTAAACTTCACGCCCACCGAGCTCGGCGAGTATCTACTGGGCATTAGCTTCGGCGGCGAGCCGATCTCGAAGCAGCCCTATCGACTTACCTGCGTCCACGGTTCCGACCCGGCCAAGGTGCGGGCCTCCGGCCCCGGTCTCTCCCACGGCGTAGTGAACAAACCAGCCGAGTTTGTAATCGATACGCGCGGTGCTGGCCAAGGTGGTCTCGGCGTGACTGTTGAGGGACCCTGCGAGGCGGCTATAAATTGCAGGGACAACGGCGATGGCACTTGCTCTGTCGCCTATCTGCCCACCGAAGCCGGCGATTATGGCATCAACATCACTTTCAACGAACAGCACGTACCGGGCTCGCCCTTCCAGGCCATTGTCGTGCCGGACGCGGACCTCTCCAAGATCAAAGTCACCGGGAACGGCATCCAGCCACACGGTACCGTTAAGGACGTCAGCACGGAGATCGTTTTGCGATTTTGGAAGTTGAAAGAATGCCATTGACTTGCTGATCTCTGATTCGCGCGACAAATTTCTTAACGTGTTTCAGAATTTTGTAGGGATGATTCGAATGATTGCATGTGAAGTGAATGAATTTTCTAAATCGATCTGTTTGACAAGTTGCATGCGTATTGCGATATCTGAGAAGAACTTGTTGCTCTGTGTAGAATAAAAAATTTTGTCGATTTAAATTTAAGAGATTGAAAAATCCTGGAGACTATTCTGAGATGCGTTGCGAAATCTAACACACACACACACACACACACACA